CTTGTCTAAATACTGAATTTCAGGCTGTTCATTCATGGTTCTGTAAATTGTGAATTATGCAAAGCTACTCTAGGAGAGTCAAAGATGAAAAAGATGGAGCTGGAAATGGTCCTGTGTATGTGTAAAAATGATGAGAAAATGTACTCAATGATCATCCTTTGCTCTTTTATCTGGTTATGCAGAAGCAGTGGGTGAGAAATTAAGTACACCCTCACTGCTTCCATTTGAATTAAACAGATCGAGTAGGGTGCTGCTAATCAAATGCACTCGATTAACTGATCCCCAGCAAGTGTAATAAAAATGTAGACATTTTGGCAGTTTGCTGGTCTGGAGCTTTCAGGTCTTTGCTAACACAATGCAAGCTCCACGTTTGGTGAATAAGCACAATCAGCTCATGCCAACTGTAAATCACTGCATTGGAGGAGTGAGTGGGCTTGTTTTGCAGCCACAGTACTGAACACCTCATGCTCATGCACTGCTTCTGAAATTTGCCTTAGTTTTCTATAAATAATGACATGGTGTAATATGTCATGTGTTGTTCTTCATCTCAGAATTGAAAATCATTTAATATATTTAAATCAAGACCTGATAAAGATTAGATAACTTTTTTATTATGGGCTGATACATAAACCCTACAGTAAATAATAGGTTTACTTTAATCTTACTTTGTCTTATACATATTTATCTAGCAACACTCATGTCACTCCTTGCAAACTTTATCAGTCCAGTTGACGTGTATTTCTGATGCAACTCCCCCAGTGAATAAAGATATGACTGCATTGTTCGTCAAAGCAGATTTCCCACAGCTGCCGTAACAGTGAGTTCGTAGAAAAATAAAATAAAAGTTATCTTTCTGGTATTTTTACCTGCACTTCTGGAAACATCAAGATGAAAAATTTACTGTGGAGTTGTGCAGCAGTAATGACTCTGTTTGCTACAGGTAGGAGGTTGTTTGCTTGTTTTTCTTTCTGCTTGGACTCAAATACTACTGGACTACTGGTTATTTTCAGAGATACTTTAAAATGTGTATATCCTGTCTTGGGAAAAACTGAAAATATATATAAATATAAATATCTTGATCAAGTGATTTATTTTTTTACGGCTTCAAATCAACAATCGAGGATATTGTTCAGTGTTTTTGATGGGTCTGATTTCATAACCTCAAAACGTTTTTACTTGACTGTTAAAAAGTTTTACACTGCTGTTTTTCCAAATTGTTATTAGAATATCCTTAAAAGAACCAAGGTAAGCAATAATAGGGTTTTATCTGGCTCAGCTCGGGCTTTTTGGAGGGTGTCTAGGCCCCTAAGCAGTGCTGACCCATGGCAAAGAGTCTGCATATTCCTATTTAATAGAAGCCTGTGCAGTTTCCTGTTGTTTCTGACCATCTGATAAACAAAAGTGTATTTTAAACTTGAGCAGAAATGGCTAAAGGACCATTAAGCTCATGCCACAAGCCTCCATTCATAATGCCTAAGGATCACTGCTACTACTTTGTTCAGACTTACATCTGATATGGTCTTCACCGATATTGTAGAATTCACAAGCAGTAATCTGTGAATTGTGGTAAAACGACTAATGAGTTTGATGGAAAATAAACTTTTTCATGGGTCAAGAAACAGATTAACCTGCAGCATCCATGAAGCCATAGAAAAAGGGTTTGGATCTTACAGTGGGTGATCCAGTGGCTCTGTTATGGTGTGGAGCCACTTGTATTTCTCAAATGTTTCATGAGATGCCCAATTTTATAAGCTGAAGAAGTTCACCCCTTTCACAGCCTACAACAATTTTTTTTTATCAGTTATTAACAATTTTTTTTTAAAAAGAATTGAGCGGAGTTGTAGCTAAGGTTAAATGAAGGTCAGCACGATAGCATCAGCAAACTCTATGCTGTGTATTTGCCCTTGTTTCCATGCCTGTGATTCAACCATAGGTCAGGGACTGCTCCCTTAAAGTAAAGGGCCACTAAAAATTCATACAGACATGTTAAAAGTGATCACCTTTATCCTATCATAAAACATTTCTATTCTAATGCAGCCACTTTCTTTTAAGATAACAAAGCATGCATAGAGCTCTTAGAATCAAGAATCAATGCCTCAAAATACCAAAGCTGTTCTAGCATGATGTAATGGTCCAGCACCTCCCATAAGATGAGGTTTGTTGTTTTCTCATGATGTCTGTCACCTGTTGGTAATGAAAACTTATTAGAAATTTACAGCAATTGCAGTGTTGTTAAAACCATGTAAATGTTTCCCCAGAATCACAATGAGGGCATTTAGTGCTGCTCGAAGTCATTCTGAATGCTGAGAAAATGCAGGTAGAAAGACTGGTTTGTTAAGAGTTTGTCAGAAAGATGAAAGGCAAAACATTTGGGGAAAAAAGATCTAGGGGGTAGATTGCAGATGATGAATAGTCGCCAAACTTAAACCCTTCACCTTTGTCACGAATTTGTGACAAAGGTGAAAGCAAAGAAATCTACTTTTGAAACAGAGTTGGAATGGACCTCCCTAATTCCACTGCAGAAAGGATTTCAGAGGATGTCACAGGTCGCAAGTGTTAGCAGGGCTAATGCAGTGAGAGACACACAAACCATATATATATATATATACACACACACACACACACACACACACACATATATATATATATATATATATATATACCGTATTTTCCGCACTGTAAGGTGCACTTAATATCCTTTAATTTTCTCAAAAATCAACAGCGCGCCTTATGTATTATTGTGCTTACTGACTTTGAACCGATTTTATGTGTTACACGGCGCTCAAAAATGTCAAAAAAAATGACACCAAGACACTGTGGCATCACTGAGAGTTAAAAACTGTCTAAATTCTTTCATCTTTAATAAATTGATCAGCGTTGCTGCTTTTCTAACTAAACTAAACAGCAGTGACATTTGTGGGGTTACTTAAGTTGAACTAGCTGCTAGCTTGGACTAGCTAGCTGTGTATAATGATGTGCTACGTGATCGCTAGCGACAGAGCTATGTTACACAGCTAACTTTTTTCACTCATCAAGGGTTAAACTTCAGTCATGAGAACAACTGGGATAATCTATCCACAATACGAGGTGAGTCAAACAATCAATGGTACGGAAGTGGAGGAAGCAAGAGGAATGAGTTGAGTAAAATTTGACTTCTCTGACTGTTTTGTTTCGCTTAGTGCACCTTATAATCCCGTGCGCCTTATGGTCTGATAACATGGTATGTAGCTTGAATTGCTTTCTTACATAAACAGCCTGTTAACCTTGGCAGGTTAAAAAACTTCTGCTTGTGTACTTTGTGATAACGGAGGTTCCTATTTTGATAAAAGTGTAATTAAATGGAGTCAGATATTTGACACAGCTGATTAAAACACTTTCTGATATTTTCCAGCACCTTTTTTATTTACAGTTGCTTTTTTTGGTTGTTTTCTTTCCCACAGTTGACTCTCTCACCTGTGAGACGTGTGATTTTAAGATCCTTGGCTACTGCATGCACACTGATCCTGTGAATTGCACAGGATCTCAGACTAACTGCTTCACTGGAGTTGCAAGTAAGAGAAACACCCAGAGCTTTCTGTGGCACAGCTACAGAGGAACTATGAAGAAAATTACATTTTGATTTCTCACAACAGCGATAAGACTTTCCACTGAATTTGCTCTAAAAACAAATTTTAACATTTAATCCAAAAAAATTGCTTTACAAGCTTCAAAATATTTTATGTTAAAGTATTAAAAAGAATACATCTTAAAAACATTGAAAACATTGAATAACCTAAAACAAGCCAAAACGAGATAAACAAGTCAAACATGGACTGTCCTTTCCTCTCTCAGAGTTCAACAAGATCAGCCTGTTGAACATCTATGAACGTGGCTGTATAGAACCAGCCGAGTGCAGAAACGAGACGGGCTCCATCTTGTATGTGAACTACACCGTCACCAGGACCTGCTGCAGCACCGACCTGTGCAATGGGGCCACCTTCATCCTGCCTGGCTTCACTGCAGCTCTGTGTGCTGCCCTGGTACCAGTTTGGAGCCAGTGGGTTTTTTAAAGATGACGAGAAGACACAACAGAGTGTTGCTTTGAGTTTCCATTTCATAATAATTCACTTTCAAAACCTTCAATTAAAAAAATGAGTTAAACAATATCTCTAACATGTAAGTGTGATGATGTAATGTGCTTAATAATGTAAACTATAGATTTTTCTATGCAATTCTACGGTTTGATACAGTTTCAAGCCAAAATATAACAACCAGATGCATTATATTACTTGAATTGCTTTTTAATTACTTTTTAAAGCTGATTTAAAGGAAAATAAATTCTTACGCTGATTATCCATCTATTTGCTTCCACTTGTCCAATTCAGGGTCTGACTTTCTTAGAATAAACAGTTTTGTTGTAGAAAAAGAACATGACATAGGTCAAATTTAGTTTCTTTTTAATTTGGATTAAAAATTCATGACTTCTTAAGTACAATAAAGTAAAGTGCTGAAAAACAGAGTCAAAGATTTTAGCTATTAAAATCAATTTCTCACTCCTGAAGTCTGTATCAAAAAAAATCTCCATGTTGATAAATTTGGTATGCAAAAAATGATAAAGACAGAATTTCACGAAACACTGAATGATGTGATAACTTGAAATATCCCTTTACCACAAATGCTGCATATCACTTGTTGATCATGACATCATTAGTCATGATCAACAAGTGCTGGAGGGAGTGTCAAACAGCTGGTCAGTAGTCCAGTTAATCCTATGACATGGGGTGTGTCCACATATTTTCATGCTTTTTATTTCCATGGTTACTACTAACTACAATACTGCTGAACTGAACATGTGAGCTACATTAATTCCCCATATACGACAGTTCACAAGCCTCCATAAGTTCTCAGTTGATTTTAATTATCTTTAGTTTGTACAGTACAGCCATCAGTGGTAACAGGTTTGACACCTTCCTTCTGTACTTCACATATTAGCATGAAGAGCTACTACATTACTGATGTTCTGGTTTCTATAACCGACTTTAAGCATCGATATCATGGTATATAAATACAGTGCGAACAGCGTGTCAGTTGTGATGTCATTGATGTACAGAAATAAACGTGGATTTTTTTTTTATCTGGTTTCTGATAATCCAGTGGGAAAAAGCTGTATCATATCACAGGACTCACATTGATCCCAAGTCCATTGTCTAGCTCTGGTTCCTTCTGTTTCAAAATTGTAATATATAATAGTCTTCATTAGCTCATTTTAATTTTCTTAATTAAATATAGTTCAGTTAAATGCACTGGATGATAGGGGATAGTTCCAGAAATGTTCAGAGAATGATGCCGCCAGTATAAGCATCTACATTCCATAAGAACTGAGTCACTGATCTTAAGACACAGTCACATCACAAAGCCTTAGAAAGGTCACTGCATTGTTTATTGTTTTTAACAAGCATAACTAACCGCAAGGTCTGCAAAACAAGTTCTCTAGTGAAAGCAATCAAATGAAGCCAAACCTTGTACTGTCAGGCTGGGAGTGTCTTTTGTTGCATTTTATATTGCCTATTTTTTTAAGTGTTCAGCATGTGACATACTCTGCCAAACCTTACTAAGGTTATAGAACTGTACAAAGGAGGGTGACTGCACTCTGTTGCCCTCCAGTGTCATGCATAAATCGTAATCCTTCCTGTCATTCTCATCATTTAGAATGCCATATTCCATATTTTCCTATAGCTTTAGTGTTATATGTGTCCATTTCTGTCCCATAGTCCACCTAGCTCAGTTGAAAGTGCATAAGATACTTTATCTCACTGTCATGGGTTTCAGCCCCATGTTGGGTGATGGGTGTCTGACAAGCAACAACTCTCATGAAAGCGGCTCTGCAGGTAGGTAAAAGCACCCTGCTGCTTTTCAAAGCATTCTGCTGAGTCTGTCAGTCCAATCCAGAAAAGGTCTTCAGCTTCTTTTGATTTTGATTGAACAGTTCTCTGCAGGAAACTCTGAACAGTAAAAGATGCTGAAAAACACTTTTTGTAAAGATTTGACAAAAGATGTGAGAACAACCTGCAAAAGTTTTTTTTTTTTTAAAAAATACCTGCTCCTCTCTGCTGTCTATTTTCACCAGGTCTCCTCCTTTTATCCTACATTGTCTTCTTCTCTCTTCTCAGGATGATTTTCTGGTGGACAAATAATAGCACGTAATAGCACGTTGCTCCCAGCCTTCTTCACATGTATATTGTACATTGTTTATCTTTGAAGAGATAGCAGCAAAGTCTGCAGTCGGGTACGGGGGGAAAAAAATCACTGTTGTGATTGCTGGGATTTGGAAACAACAGGAGGCTCCTTCTGTCCTGTAGCTACAATCAATCAGGCCATCAGTTTGTTTTTAATCATCAGAGGATGGGAATGTTTTAAAGTCAAAGTTCATAACTTACTCATTTATGTATAGCTGTTGACATATAGGCTGCACTTTTATTTTGATCATGTATACATATGTATGCAAGTATAAAGAAGTCTATTTAGCAAAGAAAAGAAAAAATGCTAAACAAAAGCAAGAAAAATACATTTCAACATTGCTTCACCTGTTATGATTCAGTTACATATTGAAAAGGAGTGGGAAGAAGTACACACTTATTTAATCCCACCCCTTCGCCATACATAATATAATCTTAATATAATCTTCATCCTTTTCCCTTCCTCTATAACTCATGAAGATCATATCTTTATAACTCTTTTTTTCTTTCTTTATAACTGCTTTGTGTTTGGACATTGCTTCAACTCCATACTCAAACTGTTCCACAGCTTCACTCCACGCATAGAAATTATTTTATTAGTCATCTCTAAACTGTATGTAATTCTTTTAGTTCCCTATCCCCGCCTTCTCTAAGGGGATTCCAGTCGCCAAAGGGAGGCATTCAGAAGTCACTTCTCACAAGCTTTTGTAATTGATTTGAGGAGACTTCACATTTAATGGGGTCATCTTATCTTGGAATAGCTTTGTTTACAACAAAGGGGAAGACACCTACTAACCCAGTTAACAGCATTACAGCACGGTCATCTGTTGCCTTGGGAAGTTCCCCATATTTTCCTCCAGTGGACTGTCATTTTGTTGTTAGCGCCACACATCTCAGGGCTTGAACCCACAATCCTGAGATTAAGAATCTCGTGCTCCGCTAACTGAGCTAGCTCGGCTGTAAAAAGTCGTGTACCACACTCTGTACAAATAGAAAAAGGGATCAGTTCAAAACCCATTTGTGACAAAGGTATCTTCTTACATGTGATACAATTCCATTATTCAAAGGTCCAGTAGCTTTTTTTTTTTTTTTTTTTTTTTAAAAACATGAATAAATAAATAAATAAGTGTAGCTGATATTTGGTTATGAAGGAGAGCTCTCTATGACAGCCATTAAGCCATCCTGAAATTCCTGTTTTTGACTTTGATACTAAGTGAAATCTAAAGCAAAGAAGATGCTGCAACAAAAGCTTCTATGTGGTCTCTTTGGTTGTTAGCAGATTGTAATACAGTCTGCAAACACTTCCTGATTAAAAAAGTGAATCGGTGAATCAGTAGTTATATGCACTACAGTTGCATATATACAGTTAAGTTAAATTACAAAATTGCATTGACTGACAGCACAAAAAATAAGAGCCTTTTGTATGGGCTAATTCAAGACCCATACTGGGATCTGTAAGAGTCTTGTCCCAAAACAGAATAAGAGAGTGAGGGTGCTGGCCTCCTGAAGGCTGTGGGGACAAATAAACTTGCTAGCATATGCCCGGTTGAAGTCAGAGTGACATGCTTTAAAGAGGAAAGTGACACAAAACTGCATTGTTTTACTTCACAGTAATATTGTAGGGTCTCCACCTTACTATTTAAAATTAAGTTATTTAAATTAAAGACTGAAAACTCTCCCTCTCTCTCTCTCTCTGTAAATGTCTTGGGTTTTGGGGTTTTGAGGTATCATGTTCACATGATTTTCAGAAAAAGTAGCAAAAAAGATGCTACACCGTAAACTTTAATGATTGCTACCAGTTTGCCAAGGGTGTCTCAAAGGGTAACAGCAACACCCTCTCAACCTTTTACAGCTTAGGGGTAAAAACTATAGGCAACTTTGGCAATCTAGTACCAATTCTGACATCCAGGTCTGGGTTGTGTCAGTTGAGATGGTCTGTCTGTCTGTCT